CTGATGTACGACTGCTCTTTCGACGAGAACGACCTGTGCGCCTGGACGAGCGACGACAGCGAGGTGAGTCGTCTGTGAGAACGTGCGGGTTTAATGGATGTGTTTAATAATTGGGATGGACGTGGTGCGTTTTATTCTACATATGTAATTCTTTTTGTATTATTCCTCAGGGCACAGGAAACCAGATGCTGTGGCAGGTTGCCTCTGATCCGTATTCAGGTAAGGATCATCTTTAATGTAAAATTCTACACATTTTCTAACTTTGTAGCAAAGGACTAGGGGAGAGCCATTCTTTAATAAGCATCATGCATTTTCAATCTTAACATAGACTATTATCAAACACACACAGACACCATGACGATGATGAACGCAGCAGCCACAACAATCAAATAAACAACGTAAAACCAAAACAACTAGATATAAAAAAAGAAAAAAGAAAAAAAAACGACACGAGAACAGAAGCAGCATATCATGACAAAGAAACCGAAACTAAAAATGACAACATTAATAATAGGAAAACATGATAATCATGATAATAATATCAATACATCCTGCAGGTGGCTACGCCTTCTTAGACGTTGCCGGCGAGGACCTTGGCCGCGGCGCCCGGGGCACGTTGATCTCCCCGGTCATCTCGGGCACGGCGGGGTCTTGCCTCTCCTTCTCCTACATCCTGGACGGCCTGCACGAACTCAACGTCTTGATTATGGTGAGGAAGAGAAGTCTTAGCGGAAATACTTTAGTTGAATCGTGTCCGTGCTGTTCGTTATTATTTATTTATTTAATTTTTATGGATAGCTATTTCTTGGAATATTTTATTTGTCACTTTAAGAGTGACCTAAGAGGATTCCTTACTAAGTGATTCATATGGTGATATAATTTTCGAAATTTCTTTTGGGCAGAAAGAGACGTTTCTCGAGGAAGTATGGCACGTTGTAGGTCCCATTGGCACTGTGTGGGAGGACGCGCAGGTAAACATCGCATCTGACTATGTCTATCAGATCATATTCGAGGGCGTCAGAGCCTCGTCTCCTGAAGGCACCATTGCAATTGATAACATCACGCTCTCGTTTGACGCTTGCAAAAAGAAAGGTGAGTAGAAGCGTAGATGATGGCGTTCTTAGATGGATTTACAGTTGTTCATACTTATGCCTACATGCACATATATTTCCCTAACGTTCTCCGTCAACGGATTCCCGCATCAGCAAAAAAATAGAACACCTAAAGCACGCCAGAAACTCCTTACGACCTCCTTTTCCCTTCTCGCAGATGAGCTCTGCGACTTCGAAGGCGGACACACCTGCGGATGGCACCCAGCGACCTCCCTGGACTCAGGAACACCTCGCTGGGAGCTCGCAGACGGCCAGTACTCCCACGGGGACCACACCACCGGCGTCACCGAAGGCCACGTCCTCAAGGCTACCAATACCTGGAGCAGCGACCAGAACACGGCGCTCTCCAACTCCTCCCTCTACGCCTCGCTGGGGATATCCTGCGTCAGGTGAGGGAGACTGGGGGAGAGTGGGGGAGAGGGGGAGGTGTGTTCGGGTACCTGGGATTTTGAGTTTATCTTATTTTTTTTCTACAGTGGTACTGGTGAAATGCGGTGATTGTCGTTTCTTTTTTATATCTTTATTTTCATACTGTTTGAAAAGAGTGAAATATCTGACGAAACGTGAATTATCTTTCATATCAGTCATTGCGAATAATCTTTATCAATATTGGATTTTATGATTTTTTTTTCCATTTAGCTTCTGGTACTACTCCCAACCATCGACCTCAGCGGTAATCGAGTTGTATGCTGTTGGAGACAGCCTGGACGGTGGCCTGGTGGTAAGTAAACACGAACATGATTTTTCCTGCCTACCATACAGACTAATGTTGAGCAAATCAGCATGGAGCAACTCAGTTATGATTTTACTTTGTTGCCTTGTGACTAAATTTTCTCTGAGATTATATATTGTAGTTGAACGTACACTGAAAATTAATCTTCACATCAACCTCATCTATTATCCATTTATCGTCGCCGACATAAAAGACCATATATCATAATCCCACTCTTATTTTCTCATCACCCTTTTCTTCAGCCTCCTGAGAACATCTTCGGAATGCCAGCGGGCAGAGTGAACGCATGGCTTTTCGCCAGAGTTCCTGTGTCCTACAATTTATTCCGACTCCAGCTGAGTGCCACCTTCGCGTCCCCAGACAACACTTCTGCCATAGTGGTCGACGACTTCAGAGTCCAACAAGGAACCTGTGGACTACCAGGTCTGTTATTTTCGAAGACACCCTGCGCTCTAGGACCATAGATAAACGAGTGCTTGGTCCTTCACCTCATACATATATACAATATGAAAATCCTTTACATATACACAACAGGAAAATCCTTTACTTATATACAATATCAAAATATACAATATGAAAATCAATTACACATATGCAATGTTCAGATAACTAAGAAATTGCATTAAAAACATAACAATGTAGCAAACAAACACCACATTTTCCCATTCCCAGGCGAGTGTAATTTCAACGACGGCGATCTCTGTGGCTGGATTCCCTCGCGGACGGAGAAGGGCTACTGGGAGGTGGTCGGGGGGAGCGACCATACGTACGGCGACCTTGGTAAGGAGTGAACATAAGAGGAGGAGGGTTATAGGACTTCGTTTTTTATATGTTCTTGAGTGCGAGTTGGGAATCTTGCACTGTTTGTCATTTTTACAGTGTGTTAACTTTTTCAACAGCTAATAATCCATAGGATGTTTTTTATATACCAGTTTTTGTTTTGTATCTTTGTGTTATATATCTGCTGTTTGATATTTGCATTTTTCTTTTAACGAGAATGAAATCTAATTCAGCATTCGTCTGTACACACATTACTTTCCGGATACAAAGTAAATATAAAATCGACAGTTATATACCGAACCCAGCAGTCAAAAACAAAATACATCTCTATAAGAGAACAAAGAACATAACCCCCCCAAAAAACAAACAAACAAAAAAAAAACAGAGAATATAAGCAACATTCTTTAAACAAAATGTAACACTCTTGGAAACTCTTGTCTGACCAAGGAGGCGGAATGCTGGCCCTGAAGGCGGAGAACCACGAACCCGGGGATCTTGCCGTGATTAGAAGTCCTCCGCTGGGACCCTACACTGCGACGTCCCTGTGCATGCAGCTGTGGGTGTCCGTGGAGGAGGTCGAGGAGGGGACGCTACGTGTCTATGTTGAGGTACTGTTATGTTTATGTGTGTGTGTGTGTGTGTGTGTGTGTGTATGTGTGTGTGTGTGTGTGTGTGTGTGTGTGTGTGTGTGTGTGTGTGTGTGTGTGTGTGTGTGTGTGTGTGTGTGTGTGTGTGTGTGTGTGTGTGTGTGTGTGTGTGTGTGTGTGTGTGCGTGCATGCAGATTTTGTCTTTAAAAGTGTGCAAATGAGCATCAGGGCCTGAGTGAGAGATAGATTATAAAACAGAAATGATAAAAGTATGAATGATTGCACGTGTTTGCAGACATGCCTGTGAATATTTCCCTACCTTTAGTACGTGACCATAAACAAACCTCTGACTCATTTAAACTTCCGTCTCCGCAGCCAATAGGCGAAGAGAAAGTGCTTGTATGGAGTCTGAGCAATTCCGTCCAACCGGGATGGCAGCTGGGGCGAGCGCCTCTTTACAACGTCACGACGGGCTTCTACCAAATCGTGCTCGAAGGCGTCCTTGGGGTCAACCAGCTGGACGTCTTGAGTAGGTGTCTGCGTCCTTCTTCCCCTTGCTTTATCTCTTATACTCCAAAAAACATAACAATCTTTTGAAACAGTATGGTTCATATGAAGAGATCGTGATTCCAAAATTCGATATGTTGCAGAGGTGGATGACATCATGATGTTCTACGGCCCCTGCGGTATATGGCCGAGGGAAGCGACGCCGGGAGCAGGAGGCACGACCACAACTACCTCCCGTCCCCCCATTTCCACGACGACTCAGGGTCAGTAGTCGATATCAGGCCTTGAAGTTCATGGAGGCGGTTTCAGATGCTTTTTGATTAGATTTCATTCTTTTTTTCAAAGAATATTCTTTAAAACTGTTTGACTGGTGATTTTCTTAGGCGATAAAAGAGGAGTCAAATTGTTGTCGCTTAACTAATGTTAAATAATATCATTGCATACATTTCTGTCTTTGATAACACGTGCATCAAACGTTAGTGGTTAATACTTTCTTTACCAAAGAACCCCTTGGAGAATATGACTGTGACTTCGAGAACATGTTCCAACCTTTCTGCAAGTGGCAAATGTCAGAAGAGAATGGCACGGTGCCTTGGAGGTGGCAGGTAGGCCCTCCACAGAGCTTGTCTCCAGGACCCTCCGTGGATCACACCTACGGAACAGGTATTCTCACTTAATTATATAGCTTTAGTCTTCTATTTACTCTATATTAACAGCATTCGGAGTCAGCGAATCACAATATAATTTGCAATGCTATCATCTATTTATGGATATCGAAAATCTGCAGCACGAAAGCTTGCAACCACACCATCTGATCATTAACACCTCTCCGCCCACAGCAACCGGACACTACCTGTATGTGGAGTCGAAGTGGGCCGACCCGGTGGCGTTCGCGCAGTTGTCTGTTGGTCCCCTGGAGAACCTACAGTGCTTGCAGTTCTGGTACTACATGTTCGGCGAGCGGACACCACAGCTCGTAGCCACCACTAGCCTCAACGGGGACGTCTATTCCCCCGAGTTCTTCAGGGAGGGATCTCAGGGGGACGCTTGGCATCCTGCTAAGATGACTCTGCATATCAACAGTGGAAATTTCTATGTAAGTTTTGTTTTTTCCTACGCCTGGTCGACGAGGAGATGTACAATAGCGATGAATACTGTTCTTCAGTGTATAAATGAATGTTTGTATGGTAATATGTGACAGAGCAGCAAGAATACCAATCCATTTCTATTCTATTTTTTTCTCGGAAAGGCAACGATCATAGCCCAGTGGAACGAATCAAGCCAAGGCATCGTAGCGGTAGACGACTTGCGGGTTCACTCTGGCTATTGCCCGTACGACCACACCGACCCTGCGAGCCTGCACGACTTCGAGAACAACGGCTCCGACTTCGATGTGGTGGATGGAGGCATAGTGGACTGGGACACAATGAACACCGGAGAACAAGTAGATCACACGCTCGGGACGATGAAAGGTGCGTAGGCCATGAGAATGAACGGTCGTACAATGGTGCACAAGAGGACTAATTTGCATATGTTGGTTTCGTCAGGAATGTAAAGCATATGTATAGATTTTTAGTCACTCTTTGATATCCGTTATATATGTAGAAAGGTCCTCATACAAACTTTCTCCCAACAGGTTACATGGCAAGAGTAGAACTTTCGAAATACAACGTAGATGATATCGGTCAGCTGATCTCCCCCGTGTACAAGAACTATGGGAAGACCTACAAGTATGTGATGGGGATTTTGTAATGTGCACTTTGAACGACACCCCTGTTTATTTTCACTTTCCTAATGTTATCTGCCTTCCTTCTTTTACCTGTCTTTCCTTCCCTCTCTCGTTCTCTCTCTTTCTCTCTCTCTCTCTCTCTCCCTCTCTCTCCCTCTCTCTCTCTCTCTCTCTCTCTCTCTCTCTCTCTCTCTATCTCTCTCTCTCTCTCTCTCTCTCTCTCTCTCTCTCTCTCTCTTTCTCTCTCTCTCTCTCTCTCTCTCTCTCTCTCTGCATTTTCTTATTACATTCAAAGCTCGTCTTATATACATACATAACCTTCATACGATTTGAGTCTTTTCAGACGAAACCGTAGAACTCGAAATACCATTTACTCATGCCGAATAAAAATTAAATTATGAGCATCCACAAAAATATACATTTTTTTTATAGTAATACAGCTCCTCCCCCCCACCCAAGTACCCATTTACGAAGCCATCGACCTGTACTTTAATTATTACTTTGATTCATTCACAAATTCCCTACGTATTCGTGCCACCCGGCAGGTGTCTACACTTCTATTACTACCTGTCTGGATTGTCGGGAGCAGCCCAGCTGAGTGCCTACGTCAGGAGTACAGAGGACGGCTCAGGAGTGTCTATTGACATGCACAAGACACTCATCTTCCAGCAGAAAATAAGCCAGGGAGAGATGTGGGTCAATGCAGAAGGACACATTAGAATGACCGGGAACTTCCAGGTGGGTTTTAGTATCTTTTTTTAAGGTTACTGTGGTACTTGTTTGGTTTTATGCAGGAGGGTTTTCATAGTGTGTGTTTTACAGTTGTTTTTTCTTATAAAGTATTTGCAATGTATTTGGTTGCTATTATACCTATAGTTTGCTAGTGCATTATTTACCCAGATGTTAAGAGTTGCTGAAATGAGCTACTACCCAACGTAAATGACTAAGCTTCGACCTCAGAAAGGATAGAGACCAACATAAAATCGTTTATTTATTTAAATTAACTTTTCGTGTATCACTCACCAGGTCATCTTCGAAGCCAAACTTTTGAGGGAAAGACCCCCAGCTGTCGTTATGGGCATCGACGACGTGTTTGCAACCACGGAAGACTGTAGAACAGCCTCTATATGCGACTTTGAACACGACATGTGCACCTGGATGAACGGCGAAGAAGACACTGCCGACTGGTTGCTTCAGAGTCCGGGCGATGGCGACGCTGCCTACGGTCCGCCCGTCGACCACTCGACCAACGGGGCTGAGGGTATAGCTTTTCTTTCGTTCTCAAAGGTTGCTTAGTGTTGGTGGATATGTTTTTGCATATCTGTTTGTTTGTCTTTTTTCTATTCACGTTTTCTTTTCCTTCATTAGAAAAATAAATAAATAAATTATAAATAATTTTTTTAACCCCGGCTCTTTCTTTCTCTTATATTTTTATTAAAATTCTCCTCTCTCTCTCTCACTCTCTCTCTCTCTCTCTCTCTCTCTCTCTCTCTCTCTCTCTCTCTCTCTCTCTCTCTTTCTCTCTTTCTCTCTCTCTTTCTATCCATCCCTCTTCCTCCCCCTCTCCCTCTCCCTCTCTCCTTCTATATACACATTTGTCTCCATATCATCTCACAATCTTTCACTTTTTGTTACTTTCATCTTCTATATTCATCTTTATTGCTCAACTTTTTCGTCCCTTTTTAAAACATATATATTTTTAGCCCCTTTTTATCCCTCACTCTCTCCTTTCGACACTTTTCTCACTCTTGCCTTCCACAGGTCATCTGCTGTTGATGGCCGGGCCTCTGATGTCACCCGAGGGAGGGAAGGCGCTGCTGTGGTCTACTGTGCTTCCGGCCACGGGCTCAAACGGAGGCTGTTTCCAGTTCTATTACAATGCGGCTTTCCTTCAGGATAAAGGGGCCTTGACGGTATGCGGAAGCTTGTCGCTGTCCTGTTTAGTTTGTATCGTGGCATAATTGCGTAGGTTTGTATGTGTGTTGCTTGAGTTTGTTTAGGTAAGTGTTGGTTGTGTATGTATTCATCGCGATAGGTTTGGTTTTCGTCTTTATGCTTTTGTCATTAATAACTCCAGATACGATGTTTTAACACGTAATATCTTCCCTAAAGGTGGTAGTTGCCCAGTCGTACCGATGGCAGACTGTATGGAAACTTCAACAAGGAACTGACACTTATTGGCACTTCGCTCAGGTCACGGTCAATCAGGACGTACCATTCCAGGTCAGCCCACGGAAATGAAAACAAGCTTGGTATTGGTGATAGATAAATACACATGTAAAATGAACTAAATAGAGGCATTAGTCGTAAGGAAGTTACTACAAAAAAAAAGAAAAGTTGAAGCGGAACCAAAATAATAAGATATTTAAAAAAACATATTTTACTTTTAGATTGTGGTCGTAGGAGAACTGAATCAGGAGGCCAAATCGTATATCAGCGTGGACGACATCTTCTATGAAAAGAATTTCGCGTGCAATGGCCAGCTGGTGCCAGAGACGGCTGACCCGATTACGCAAGGTCGGTGGAGATGGATGGATGACTTTCTGATTGATAAAGAGCGTGTTTGGGGATTTGTTTAGTCTTTGCATGTATGGGGACCATCCTTTTCTTTTCCTTAGTTATTTCTCTCTCTCACTCACTCCATCTGTCTGCTCTCTCTCTTTCTCTCTCTCTCCCTCTCTCTATCTATCTATTTATCTATCTTTCTACCTTTTTCTCTCTCTGTCTCTCTCTCTCTTTCTCTCCGCCCTCTCTCTCTCTCTCTATCTATCTATCTATCTATTTATCTACCTTTCTACCTTTCTCTCTCTCTCTCTCTCTCTCTCTCTCTCTCTCTCTCTCTCTCTCTCTCTCTCTCTCTCTCTCTATCCGCCTTCTCTCTCTCTCTCTCTCTCTCTCTCTCTCTCTCTCTCTCTCTCTATTTATCTATCTTTCTACCTTTTTCTCTCTCTGTCTCTCACTCTCCGCGCCCCCCCCTCTCTCTCTATCTATCTATTTATCTATCTTTCTACCTTTTTCTCTCTCTGTCTTTCTCTCTCTCTCTCACTTTCTCTTATCCTTATCCTCCTCTCCGCCTTCCTCTCCCGAGCCCTTAGCGATCTCTCCCTCACCCGCGCCTGTTCCCCGCCAGCCGTGAGCGACCTAACCTGCAAATTCCAAGGCAAGTTCTGCAAATGGACGCCGACGCCAGAGTTCCAAGATGGAGAGACAGACCAGGTTCACGACAACCTTGGGAAAGGAAAATACGCCTTCGTGACAGTCGACGAGGCAGCTGAGAAACCTTACCATCCCTACCTCGAGTCCGTCCCCATTGCCGCCAACTCGAATGACAATCAGACCTATTGTCTGCATTTCTGGTGAGTACTGTAGGATTTAGTAAGTGTTTATTGATCTGTTTGTCTGTGAGTACATATTGCACTCTATTCATCTATCGATCTGTCCATCTGCTTACCTAATTATTGTTGATTTACTTAAAAGAAGTGACATTCTCAATGTTGTAGGCACGTAACGCCCATTTGTTTATTTTTACTTACATCTCTCTATTTTCAGGTATTATATGTTTGGCATAGACAACCCTTGGCTGACAGTGGAGCACTATATCCTTAGAGACCACTGGGGTAACAAGACGGGCCCTGAATTCATCTGGGAGAGAACTGCTGGTTATGTAGACAAATGGCAGAAGGGTTATGTGGACGTCAACACCACACAGGGAGATGCAATGGTATTAAGAAAAATGACTGTCTCCCTCTTTTCCTTTGTTTCCTCAAATGAGACTCTTTACGTTTGCTTTACCTTTCATAAATGCTCTTCTTTTCCCCTGTCTCCTCTGACAATTTAGGTGAATTACAAATGCCCCCCCCCCACACACACACATACACACACATATATGTATATATTTGAGTATATACACCCTTAAAATATTATGCATCGTTAGCAATTCTTATCCTTCCATCCCCTCAATAGCTTCGATTGAAAGTGACAGTGGACATGAATGCGGAGGGCGTCGTAGCCATCGACACCGTGGTTGCTGAACGCGGCCCGTGTTCAGAGACGCTGTCTGACTGCGACTTCGAGCTCGGGATGTGCGGATGGAAGGACGACGGCAGCTTCCCTCTTGAGTGGGTGAGGGTCCAGGCTATGAATGGGGCTCCTCTGATCGCTTACGACCACACGACCAACACTGAAACAGGTAAAGTTCGGGCTTGCTTCCTTTTTAGCGGTGTTTTTTTTCCATGAATGGGCTATTCTAATCGCTTATGATCTCTTGTCTAATACTGTTTTTTATGACCATATCTTCACACTGTATGAGATGCATTCATATAGAGCATCCGCCATTTTGAATAAGAAAATATACTAATGCTATAACAGACCACACGACCTCAATTTACCACACGCAATCCCCTTTTCTTTAGGACACTACATGTTCCCGCGCCTCAGGCCAAATCGAGGACGAGAAGATACAATGACTGGGATATTAGTGTCTCCTACCCTTACACCTGGAGGGGGAAAACAGTGCCTTACTTTCTGGTATAACATTCAAGGTAATGTAATAAGCAAGTTTACTTACTTTATATGCATTATTTTTACTCAATTTAGTTTCTTCCTCACAGACACTTTGTAAGGTTGGGTATATGTTATAGTTTCTAACATTCCTTCCATTACATACAGGCATGGAAAAGAGTACGCTAAGCATCTTGAGACGAGAGGGCCCCGACTACACCGTCTTGTGGAACCGGACCGACGAACAGGGCTACGAATGGGTCCTTGGAAGAGCTGACGTGAAAATTGGTGAATCCTTCATAGAGGTAGAGCTCTGAACCCCATAAAAATAATTTCATAATTTCATTTTCAGCACATTTTGTGTCTTTATTATTCGTTTTATATACGACAGAATATTATAGATCATCATGGACAAACCATTCACTTGTCTATACTTGGATTCTTCCTCCAGCTGGGCATCAAGGCTGAATATAGCGAAGAAACAGGGGGTTACATAGTAGTAGACGACGTGAGCCTCGACCCAGGACGCTGCCCGAGTAGCTCCATCAGCTGCAACTTCGACGAGGGCCTCTGCGGCTGGACAAACAAACTCCTGAGGAACAACATCTGGCTGGTTGGACGAGGCTATACCGGAGACTCGAACGTGGTTTCGGGCCCCTTGCTCGACCACACGACTGAAGATGGGCTGTACGCGTATGTGGACTTCACGCCCTTCACCGTCCAGAGTAAGTTATCACTAGTGGACGTTTCATTGCTTCTTGATCCATGTTTCTGTAGAAGGGGGGAGAATGTGTGTAGTTATCCAGTCAGTTATATATGCTATTTTCATTACCCATCTTTTCGGGCCTTTTCCTCTATCTTCTTATTGTTATCGTTATTATTATTATTATTATTATTATTATTATTATTATTATTATTATTATTATTGAAATTACTTTTTCTCTTATTAATGTTGTTTTTGTTATTGTTATTGTTATTATTATTATTATCATTATTATTATTATTATTATTATTATTATTATTATTATTATTATTATTATTATTATTATTATTATTATTATTATTATTACTATTATCATCATTTTTATTATTATTATTATTATTATTATTATTATTATTATTATTATTATTATTATTACCATTGTTATTGTTGTTATTTTTTGTTATTATTATTATTATTATTATTTTTGTTATTACTGCTACTACTACTACTATTATTATCATTATCAATATTACTATTATCATTATCATCCTTTCAATCATTACTATCATTATCATTATTGCCATCGCCATGCAGATGAAGCTTCCGTTCTCATGAGTGAACAAATGCCACCAACGCAACTGTCCTGCTTGAGCTTCTGGTACATCAAATATGGCGAGAGTGGAAGATCCGGTGTGTTCATGGTGGAGATGGTTAGTACACAGTTAGTTTATATGATGTTGGTATATAGTTGCTAATAATTCTGTGGCTAATGAAGTGGCTAATGAAGTAGCTAATAATTCAGAGTGGCTAACAATTCTAAGTGGCTTATAATACTAAGTGGCTAATAATACTAAGTGGCTAACAATTCTAAGTGGTTGATAATTCAAAGTGGCTAATTCTTCTAAGTGGCTAATAATTATAAATGACTTATTATTCAAAGTGGCAGATAATTCTAAGTGGCTGATGCTTCTAGGTGGCTAATGATTATAAATGACTAATAATTCAAAGTGCTTAATAATTCTAAGTGGCTAATGCTTCTACGTGGCTAATGATTATAAATGACTAATAATTCAAAGTGGCTGATAATTCTAAGTGGCTAATAATACTAAGTGGCTAATAATACTAAGTGGCTAATAATACTAAGTGGCTAATAATACTAAGTGGCTAATAATTATAAATGACTTATTATTCAAAGTGGCAGATAATTCTAAGTGGCTGATGCTTCTAGGTGGCTAATGATTATAAATGACTAATAATTCAAAGTGGCTGATAATTCTAAGTGGCTAATAATACTAAGTGGCTAATAATACTAAGTGGCTAACAATTCTAAGTGGCTTATAATACTAAGTGGCTAACAATTCTAAGTGGCTTATAATACTAAGTGGCTAATAATTATAAATGGCCAATGATTATAAATGACTAATAATTCAAAGTGGCTGATAATTCTAAGTGGCTAATAATACTAAGTGGCTAATAATACTAAGTGGCTAACAATTCTAAGTGGTTGATAATTCAAAGTGCTTAATAATTCTAAGTGGCTAATGCTTCTACGTGGCTAATGATTATAAATGACTAATAATTCAAAGTGGCTGATAATTCTAAGTGGCTAATAGTGAAGTGTCGAATAAGAGCTATATAATATTATAGGTATGTAATGATTATTTCGTTACACAGGCGAACATCCACAGCCTCGATGGGCAAGTGACAACTCTCCTGAAGTTAGATAACAACGTTGACGAGAGGAAGTGGACTCGCGCCTTGGTAAGTTTATTTTGGTTTGTGTATGTATATCATATACATTATGTATTGTGTGTTTGTATATTCATATTTACATTCAACTGTGTGTGTGTGTGTGTGTATTTGTGTGTGTGCGTGTGTGTGTGTGTGTGTGTGTGTGTGTATATTTGTGTGTGTTTGTGTGCGTACGTGCGTGTGTGTGTGTGTTTGTGTCTGTATACGTATGTACATCTATACATATATCTATAAACCTAACTTTTGTAAGTAAGATCCTGTAATTCAATCAGCGCACAACTTTTTTTTTACAGATAAATGTGACCAACCCCGAAAACTACTTCCAAATAACGCTGAACGCGAAGAAGGAAGTCCCTGACCAGTTCGTCGCCGTCGACGACCTGGACTTCACCCAGGGAGACTGCACGCAGGTCCCGACGGTTCCACCTCCTCCGGCTCATTTTGGTGCGTTATTTATTTTTGTTATTGAGGTTAAGAGAAGGTTTGAGGATATTTCTGTTGTTAGATGAATATGGGAGAAGAGAGAGATTACTGATAAAGAGGGTATAGCAAAAGAACGCACAATAGACGAAAGAATAGAGGATACCAAATTTTCAATAAAGAAACCAGAAAAAGAGGCATGAGATACCGTACCTTCGCCATATCTTGAAATGTGATTAAAAGATCATTCCATTTACTCCCCCCTTTAAGAAAAATATTTGCCTTCCAGTTATGTGTGACTTCGAAGCCGAAGACCTGTGCGGGTTCGAGCAAAGCCAGGGCGACAGCTTCGACTGGGTCCGCGGCACGAGCGACGATCACGACTCGCTGCCTCTTGACCACTCGACCAACAACGCTTCTGGTGGGGAATTCCTTTTCCTTATTTTTTTTTCCTTAGTGGCTTTTGATGTGTATATTTTCGCTTTTTTATTTTGGAGTTCGGTTGTTTTCTCTTTGTGCTTCGAAGACGATTAGATTTGACGGATCTATCCACATAAAACTGTTCAGTCTATTCATATCTAAAAAGATTGTCTTGAAACCCAACACAGCTTTCAATGAAAACACATCCCAGGTTTTAACATTCCTTTCCCTTTACCAGGCCACTACATGTACGCCGACACGAGCGTCTGGGGGGCTGGGGCATTCACAAGCCTCTTCTCTCCTCCCATCTACGACTTACCCGAGGCCTGTGTAGCCTTCATGTACTTCAGTACAAAGCTCGATCAGCTTCAGGCGTGGCTACACACCGAGGCCAATCCTGACCCGATAAGCATTGCCAACTTCTCTGCTCCGTTTAATGGCTGGTCTGGCGCAAGGTATGGCAATTTACTATTTATTTATTCCTTTCTCTACCTATTCATTTATTCATATGTTTGTTGATTAGTTAGTTTATTTGTTGAGTAGGTAATTTATTCAGACATTTCTTTTTTTCGAGATACTGTTTAAATGATTTGCTGCGATTTGGTTACGTCACGCCCTATTTCAAGTGAATTTCTATGCAAATACTCCCAGGACTTTGATATATAAATGAATGAATATACATCCTTCACTAAGTACATAGGCCTTTCCATACCCTTCACGTACAAACATCTAATTTCTTAAACGTGATTTTCTTGCATCATCACCACCACTTCCCCGCAGGATGACCGTCCTCGCAGAAGGTGGCTGGCAGGTGGAATTCAGAGTCACTGTTGGAAATGACAACGGCTTTGTTGGCATCGATGACGTCATTCTGAGTCCCGAAGCCTGTCCCGATCCTGTTTCCTGTGACTTCGAAGATGGCAGTTGCTTGTGGCAGAACTTCGGGGGAAATAGTTGGATCACGGGTGAGTTATGATGATGATGATAATAGTGATGATAATAAAGATAATAATAGTAATGATATTGCTACTACTACTACTAAAAATAACCATAATAATAACGATGATAATAATAATAATAGTGATTAATAATATTAATTGTATTATCATTATATTATATGAGTAGGTCATTTATTCAGACATTTCTTTTTCCGAAATACTGTATAAAGGATTTGCTGCGATTTGGTTACGTCACGCCCTATTTGAAGTGAATTTCTATGCAAATACTCCCTGGACTTTGATATATAAATGAATGAATATACATCATTAACTAAGTACATAGGCCTTTCCATACCCTTCACGTACAAACATCTAATTTCTTAAACGTGATTTTCTTGCATCATCACCACCACTTCCCCGCAGGATGACCGTCCTCGCAGAAGGTGGCTGGCAGGTGGAATTCAGAGTCACTGTTGGAAATGACAACGGCTTTGTTGGCATCGATGACGTCATTCTGAGTCCCGAAGCCTGTCCCGATCCTGTTTCCTGTGACTTCGAAGATGGCAGTTGCTTGTGGCAGAACTTCGGGGGAAATAGTTGGATCACGGGTGAGTTATGATGATGATGATAATAGTGATGATAATAAAGATAATAATAGTAATAATATTGCTACTACTACTACTAAAAATAACCATAATAATAACGATGATGATAATAATAATAGTGATAATGATAATGATAATAACGATAATAATAAAAATTATTAATTGTATTATCATTATTATTATTATTATTGTTATTATTATTATTATTATTATTATTATTATTATTATTATTATTATTGTTATTGTTATTATTATTATTATTATTATCATTATTATCATCATCATCATTATCATTATTACTATTACCATTAAAACACCTTAAAACCTAAGCGACCCTTAAACCTTAAACCCTAAAACGACATCAAACTCCAACGCATCTCTCCCCAACAGGCCGCGTAACCGACGACCCGAGCCAGTCTCCTGCCTTGGGTTTCGCTCCGCCGTACGACCACACGACCGGGACGCCCTATGGCCACTACCTGTACTTCTACGATGCCGCGGACTTGCCTGCAGAAGCGATCACGGCCACCGTCCTTTCCGAAGTCTTCAGCGTCCAACGGCAGTCTTGTTTCTCCTTTTGGATTCATATGTTTGGTGATAAGGTTCGTTTGATTTTCGTTTTATTTTATTTTTTTTTCAATTTTTTGATGTTGGGAAGAATTGTTGGTTGACTTATTATTTGTTTGTCTGTTTGTTTGTTGAATTTACATACAGATGTTATTTCTTATTATCATTTTAGGGGGGGGGGTTAATAGTATATTGCCTCTCCAGGATTTTTTTTGTACATATATAGTAAATAGTATATTGGTGTTTTTTTTCCAAAGGTTGGTCGGCTCACCCTGAAGACCATACAAGACCAGGGCACCCTAGTCCTTAAAACAATAGAGGGCTCACAAGGACTTCGCTGGAAAAACATACAGGTGTGAAGGTTTTGCATTATCATCTTGTAAATCGTTAGAGGAAAGTTCAGCATAGTTTTAGTACTTCTTTACTTTACTCTATTTCCTCGCCGAAAATGTACGATCTTATTATTAGTAAATTAAATAATTAACGTGCTTAAACATAGCGACACAGCTTCATCATGTGTATATCATGCTACCGTATTGCAATGCAATCTTAGTATATTTTATCTCTTTTTAGATCGAATTAAGCGTCACTCCCGACCACTGGCTATCCTTCACGGCAGAGGGCGTTGCTGGCCACACCAACGTTGTAGCAATAGATGATATTTCACTCTATGCAGGACCCTGTCTGGATAATTCTACGGTCCCTGATTTCCGCTGCAATGATGGTTTGACAATCCCGCAAGATCAGGTGGGTAGTTACATCCATGCATGCCCAGTGTAAACAATAGATATCGTATCTAGTGATTACAATTGTTTTAATGTCTTGATTATTTGCAATTGATTGAAAAAAAAACTTCCGTAAACATCTTTCCACCGATTCAGCTTTCTGGTTAATAATCAGTAATTCTGAAAACGCAACAATTATCCCCTCACGACGGCCTCCTGCAGGTTTGCGATTACCGACCGCAATGTGTGGGCAAAGAAGACGAGCGCTGGTGTGCCAACTGTGACTTTATGGAGGACACGTGTGGGTGGAAGAGTGTGGAGACCTCAGAAGACCAGTCAAAGCTCTGGTGGCAGAGGATTTACACAAGTAGGGAATGTGTAGTAATTAAGGATCAGGATGTATATTCATTAATGCAATTGTGAGAATTTCAGTATACATTCGGGTTACTAGAATTAGTGATATCAGCTTCAAATATTTTTCAACCTTAAAATCAACCAGTGGTCAGGTCCCTTATCTTGCTCTATCCCTCTCCAGACATCACAGGTCCAGATGATCCCCACAGCTATCACATGGGCGTGTTGAAGAAGAGCGGCAGCGTTGTCAACAAACCGCGACTTTTAACTCGGGTTCTGCAGCCTACGCACCACACCTGCGCGCTGCACTTTGACTATGAGCTTTATGCATATGACTTTCCAGGTATGAGATGTGGCTTGGTGAGACTGGGGTTGCAGGTTTGATGGAGCTTTGCAAGAAAGACGGAAATTGATATTCATATAAACAGTGGATTGAATTAGACGTCTCAGTGAAGATAACAATCAGATTGTACTTTGTATTATGTTTGGTATTGTATATAACAGTAGAGAAGAACTACTGTGAAGAGAAACAACCTTTCCAAGACGATATCCGAAATTAGAGGAATGTTTTATAAGGAAGAATCGATAAGACAACAAGATTCATTCAAAGACTTGATGAAAGTTTGTCTGAAATTGCAACTTTTAGTGAAGGTTGTTAAGAATTGACAGCGGCTGTTCACACTATCAGCAAAAAACATTTTTAAAAAATTAGATTTTTTTTATAGATACTGGTGATTAGGGATAGAAATACAACAAATCTCTCCTCCTTTCTTTGCACAGGCCCTGAGATTAACATATACATAGAGCACGGAGGAGCCGACCTCACAAAAGTCTTCCGCGCACAAAGCTTCTCTTCGGAGTGGCAGACGCTCGCGCTACCGCTGGGCAGCATTTCCTCCTCATACCACCTTCTGATCGAGGCCGCTGCTTCAATCGACCTCCTACAGGCAGTCAATATCGACGAGATCCTGCTATCGAACTGCTGGCCACCGACGCCGTGCGAAGAGGTGCCCGAGGGATATACCGTGTGCGAGAATAAAGCCTGCGTTCCTCCCGATGCAGTGTGT